GGAAAAATCTCATATGCGGCGTACGAAGTAGTACATAATTATCAGAGGGCGTAAATTTTTATTTTATTTTAATTTAAAATCACTTTTAATACCCATTATATAGGGAAACAGTTAGGCCACGCAACGAACGGCTGAGCGATGAGCGTCTCCTTAGGACGTTCTCGAACAAAAACGGCCTGTTCCTTTGCATTTTATCCCACCATCAACTCGGTGTAGTCGCTATTTTTACTGGGAAGGCTTAGCAGCATAGTAAAACAAGAAACATTTATGATAAGACGAAATAAAATTGAAATATTAACTTATAGGTCAGTCCAGTGCGTGCGGCAGCGGAGGCGAAACTAAAATCTGATAACAGCAAGATATCGCCGGCGAAGAATTTATGACCTGCACGGTTATTAAAAAAAAATAGTAATATTTCAATATATTTTTGTGAAATCCTTTGTGTGTACTTCTTTTTCTCAACTAAAATTTTCTAATTTCTAAAGGTTATTCAACTGGTTTATCTTATTTGGCATTGGAATTTTGTTTCAGAAATGTGGTTCTTATTTTATTGCTAAATGGGAAGGACTAAAAAGGATAACACCTTTTTTGGTACTTTTATTTTTCTGTTTGGCACTTTTATTTTTGCATTTTTTTATCCTCAATATGGCACCTCATAGCGAAGGATAGTTGGCAGCCCTGGTAATTAGTATAGTGGTTGATCGCCTTCGAGAGCGTTGAGCAGCTCGCTTATGCGTGTTTGCTGTGATAACTAGCGTTGCCGGCTTGCTTAAATATAAGCAAAATATAAAATGTAAAATTTTTCTTAGTTTTGCTAGATTTGTGCTGCATTTCCTATCAAACGAAAGCACAATTGAGTAGTCCACTTGCAAAGTGCGCTACGTAAAATTTTTTCGATTTTTAGTTTTTGGTGGATTACGTACCAGTATTTAAAATAATAACCGACACGACGTGGGAAATTCTGAGTTAATTACCGACGATTCTGACGGATATCTAACAGATGTCTGACCAAATAATCATGGCAAATAAGAATTATCAGACGTGTATGCCCGAAATCGGACATAATTCGATCAGACATATCGGATAAGGAAATAAATAAAATTCTCCGGACATTTCGCCCAGAACACTGTACGAAACCTGTAGGACTTGTCTAAATAGTCAACTTTTTATTCCGACTTGTTTGATATCAGAAATTGTCTGGCAAATGTGCTAACTGGGTCGTCATTAATTACACTGTACTAATAAAAATCTAAAAAATTCAGCTCAAACTAGACTAGCTCTTCAGGCTCTGGTTAGTCACAGGCGCAGTAGTCTATAGACTAATTAATTCTTTTTTACAAGCTTTTATTATGGTTCACCTGTGTGTAATCAAATCTTGCAATAAATTTTTAACCAACTTGCCGATGATCTTGAGACTTCAAAATTCAAACTTAGCTCAGAATCCGATGACAATGCAATGTGAGCTCGTACTTCACATTTCCTCTAGGGGGCGCTGAGTCGTACTTATGGTCAGATATGGTTCATATTTGGAATGTATATTTTTTACACGAAATAGAATAACTCCACAATTATTGCCCCATAGGTGGCGCAGGAGTCGAGATATTTGGAAAACCCGTATTTATGGTCCGATAAGTTTCATAAATATTTAAAATGTATATTACCTACACTTCAGAAAATTTAACCGTTAGGTAGTGCTTCTCCTAAAAAAAAA